TATATATAGCACAATAAAACTTATCCCATTCAGTCATGTTGAAGGACAAATAAATCGTTTGAATTAAGCTACTAAAAAAGCTTTATTGCTAACGCTTGGTAAAAGGCATCTCTAATTTCAAAGTAATATACTGATAAAACATAGACATTACTCTGGCGAGCACTCATGGAAAAATAACTTTGCTTATAATCAATGATGTTGTTTTCTCCAGATTGAAATGAGTAGCGGAGATGAGCAGAATGACATATTAAAAGGTGGACACGCACCAGCTGAAAAAATAGCTGGTGGTGTGCGTATAGCTCGAAAAACTCGAGTTATATCAGAACTAGAGAGGAAAGCAGACGAAGAGCACAAGGATCAAGAAAGTAACAATGATGATGCGGTCGAGCAATCACGGAATGTATTGGCTCGTAGTGGCTTAGCAGCAAAGGTGCCAGTAGTTTGCTCATTTAAGAAGCTATCTCTTTTTTTTTCTCATATATAAGCTAGTTGTTATTTTAAGCAGTTTAAAATTAAATTGTCAAAATTTAGGCAAAATGAATTTCTTACATAAATACAAAGTTTTGAGTGTTATTGTTTACAGACTAATAAAGATTACCCGGAAGAAGCGGTTCGTATTTACCATGATAAGCCTACACAACCACAACATCAGAAGCCAACAAAAAGTGTTAACACATTCTTGTTCCAGCCCAGTAAACAATAAATTGAAGTTAATATTATCGTTTAAATTCTAGATTCAAGACGAGCTTAACATATCACTATTAATCACCAGTTCATCTTAAATAAGAGAACTGATTATCTCCTTGGAGGTCACTATTCTGATAAGTGGCTTAGCAATTACTGTGATAATTTTATAATGGGGTAAAATCTTTCTAAGTTTAAACTAATAAAGAAATATGTTGCAGGAAAATCGAGTACAACGACAAATATTCATATCGTACTGAAAACTATTTTCGCGTTTTGGATTCACTTTGGTAATTGCTACTTTGATAATTCTATAATAGGGTAAAATTTTCCTCGGTTGACTATTTCAGGAGGATTTATTTTTTGAAAAATAACATCTGTCTGTATTTTTCTAACTTTGTTAATTTCATTTTACTCAACCTTATATATGAAATAAACCTGATATATATATATATATATATAAACATGAGTACGATGCAACGGCGATTAATTCTAGATTCAGAGCGAGCTTAACATATCACTTTTATATCTCGAGAGTGTTCTGAGACAATGCAGTATTTAATCATGAATATTTCTCAAGCAGATTCTAATATAAGAATGCTTTAAGACAATGCAGTATCTAATCATAAATTCTCAAACAGATTCAAATGTTGTTAAGATATGACTTCTTCAAGCTACCATTATTTCGCAAAGTTTGAAGTGCTATTTATAATACAACTTTTTAAACGGCTTCGTAGACTCGAACTTACAAAAATTAAACGCTGGTAGTTATCATATTAAAATAACATATTGGATGCATGAAAAATAATTTATCTTGAATGCACTGTGATGTAGTACACAACAGTATTTCCTTGTGATTATAAGATGCCTAACTTATTGAATTAGTGAAAATGTCAACCTACTTTGACACCATGTTTATTCACCGTCAAGACATCAGCTATTTGAAGAGCCACTTTAGCCACCATCACGTCCTCATGATCAAGTGCCATTGCTATACGATCAATTAGATGCGTATTTTCAATAATCATTTCCAAACATCGGTGGTGCTTCGCAATGCTTGATATCAGACGTAAGACGAAGCATTTCACCTCCCATGATATCTTAGGATTTTCCAGTATGCGAACTGAATATTTGTTTTTAAATTCCCTGAATTAAAATAAAAACTAAGAAAACTTACGGCACAAGCGATCCTTGATTACGTCTTACGGACCTAAATAGTAGTTTGGTCACTCCATTTACATGTTCGCTTTACATAAAAAGAACCTCTGTAGACGAAATATAATGGAATTGTTTTTTGTCTATGTGACTACAGTGAGGACTAACTAGTGAGGGCATTTATTGTTAGCGATTTTGTGAACTGACTAAATACTTCTGAATTGTACACATTAATAGTACATAATATTCGTACACAAGGAAATGAGTGTTAGAAAATACAATATAAAGTTTTTGAATATTTCAATATACCTGCAATGTTCGTGAAGTTTCTGCGTGGTTCTGCCAGCTGGAATGAAAAACAAGAATAGAGATTCATTGGAAAGAGTTTGGAAAATTAGTATAAGAAGACAGAATGGTCACATCAGAACAAATTATAAGGATTGCAGCCTACCTGTAAGCACAAAGACGGCAGAGTGTCACAAATATGGATCAGAACACGAACGACATTTTTCAAAATTTGCAACCACTGTGATCTTAACACAGTAAAATTTACTTGCAACATTACCAAATTTTTATTGGTTTGGTGACAGCCGCAATTACTATACATCGGCAATAATAGCTATGCACTCGTATCAGTGTACAGAAATTTAATTTTTAGGGAGCTGATCTAACGTATTTTGGAATGTGAACAACTATAGGAAAATCAAACTTAGAGAGAGCACATTACAGCTAAGTTATCACTCGCATTTAACTGGAGCTCAATTTTCCCTAAAATCTAGCTAGATCATCATACTGTGAAATGTATACTGCTTGAAGATCTTTTGCAAAATCACCTCTCTAATTATCAACGGATATTCTAAAAAAATAGTATTTGTTCACATGCAGTAATATCCTCTGAGATTATACTTACTGCTGTTTGAGATCCTGCAGGGAACACTTCCACAAAATCGTTACCAACGAAACCCCAAGACGAGGACATTCTTTCACTTTAGCTTCCAATTCTACCTCTTTTATGGTCTAAAAAATTGTCTGCGGAAAAGAACTTCACGTTTTTATTATTGCAATGGGTTCTGCAGCTCTTAGCAACAAATTACTTAGCTTATGCATTAAAGTATCTTGTCATGAACTTGATTAAAACGCTTGAATGCACCTTAACGCACTTTATATCGTGGATTTATAATTAAAAGTGATGGTAAATTAGTAAACAACTTTTAAGAAATAAAAAAGAAAATAATGAATAGTTGATGAAACATCTAAGTTAAAGCATGGCTTCCCATAAAATTATGACAAGCGATTCTGGAATACTCTGTTAAAATTTTTTCTCACAAGAACTCTATACTAACTCATTAAAACTTTAATTTTACTACAACAAAATCATAATATAACAAACTATTAAATCCGATAGCATTACTGCAATCTGGTTGAGGTCATCACCCAACAAAATCGTTTCAATCTCATTAAGTTCTTCTTTTCTTCGTCGTTTTGGCTTCGATGCCATTATCTGCAGTTTGTACACCTCAAAATAAATATTAATAAAAAACAAATCCAAATGCGCTAGTCTAGAACAAAACTGACTCAAACAGTCAATTTATTTACAGTCAACACAAAAGCAGCAAATTTAGAGATGACGTAAGAGTTGAGCCTAAGACGAGTGGAAGCGTCTTGCTCTGCATGCTATGTTACGTGCGCCATTTTTATAACTAATTAGACAGTTAAAAGATAAAAATGACAATTTAATGCATCAAATACGAAACGAAAAGTCAAAACTGTAGCTTAATGATTACACAATATTTAATGATCACTATAAAAAACAGATCAGTAATAGAAGTACACTGTATGCTTAAAACTGCAGAAAGTACGAAAAGAAAACAAAACTGGAAGAAGATTGAGGTGGTGATACCGTACAGTTGCATAAAGGTAACAAAACTTGTTAGCATAGGGCTGTGTAAGAAACGGAAATGATGCTATTTGCAAATGATGCAAGCAGATAGAGGTGTGTGAAAGTGTTGTAGTTGCAGTAATAGATGCTCGCGGAAGTAGTAGAATGAATTCGAAGTGAGCAGACTATATGGGAGGTTGTGGTTGTTGCGACAACTTTGAGCAATTTGCGTACATGCGATTTGCATGATAAATATTGAAGTGTGTACCGATAATGACGAAATGTGTATAAAAATGAACGAATTATTTCTAATGATGAAATTTTGTGATGCTAGATATGAATCGCAAATCGTTAATGTATTGCATTGAAGTTCTACTAGTGCAAGTGTGTCTTATGTGACATATCGTTCACTCTCTGCGACTTTTTGGTTTTGTCTTGTATTCATAGCTTTACTTGTTATACACTTTACTATTTCTATGGTAGATAACTTCTAAATAGGCTTTGGTACTTATGATTGTACAGAAAGATATAATTTTACACATAATACAGCATATATTGGATAGATGTGCAAATATACAAAATGATATGGCGACAGTTTGATGCGAACAGTCACTCGCATACCAATTATTCTCTCACTCTGCAACAGACTTTTGCATGAGGGAATCATTCACATACCCTCTATCCTTTACCGAATGTGCATATACACACTTTTATAGACAGGAATACTCGCATTTGTACAAACACGCATTAAACAGTAAGGAGGATTCAAATTGCCGCCTCATGACCGCAACGCATGGGATGCTTGAGATGCATCGTATTTGTGCTCAGCGCGCGCGAATGGTTGTGTCATGTGAACGGTGTGATGTTCACTGGGTCTTCTGCCGTTGTACTTTTCAATTATAAGTTTCTCGTGTTACGTGAAATTTGATATAAATACTAGCAAGAGTTTTAACAAAATAATTGCGTAGATAAAAATAAAGGAATTGTGATTAGTTGCATGCGAATGACACTGCAAATAACGGATGAGGCTTTTTTTTGTTGCTGTAATGACACGAGATTTTGTTTGTTTGTCGGCGGCATTTCGTAACCCAGAAAGGTTGTTCTCAACTGACGAAACCTGAGGTCTAGTCAGCAGAGAATTCGGAAAAGGCTTGAAATTGTGCGTGGAGTACGTGAGGCTGACAATGTGCCCGTGTGATACACGAAATTAGTGGTTTGGAGCTTAGTTCGTTAGTCGGTGGAGAGAAACAGCAGACTAGTATGACCATTAAAGATGTTAACTTCTGTCTTCTGCTGCATGTGGTAAATATTAGTTATATCCTTTATGTACGGTTTATTCTTCCATTACTGACATATAATTGCTTCTCTAAGAATTTTGTGTACTGCTTTTACAATGGCTTTTGTCGATTTGTGCTATAACGTGTGATTTGAATTTGCACATCAGATTGATTATTCCTTTCACAGGGAAATTTCCGTTATGAGCGGGATGAAACGGAAAGTATGTGTAAAAAAAGAGGAAAAGATAACAACAGTCGTTCCGAGAAAACGTTTGCGGCGAATGCGTAATGTCAAGGAAGAATTAGATGAAGTTATCATTGTTTTTATTTTCATTCCATTCTTTGGATTGCTTCCACTTTGTGACTTCAAAGAATCTGCACTCATTTAAAATCTACTCATTGACTGATATGTAATATGATTGGATCACAAATCAGATATTTCTGAGATCTAGTCAGCACAGAAATCAGGAAAGGCCTGAAATTGTGCGTGGAGTACGTGAGGCTATCTGTGTGTCTGTGTGATGTGGGTGACATAAGTCGTTAAAAGTCATACCAAACATTCAATAGTATTGAGTTAATAAAATATTAATTTGGTTTGTTGAACTTTGGTTTATTCAGTTAGTCATGAGGAAACATCAGACAAATCTCTTGTCATGAAATTAATTCAAATTGCATATAAAAAAATTTATTTTTTTAAAGGAAAGCTGATACTACATTTTTGCCAAATACTGGAAAGATACGTTTTTAATTTAGTTACGCAAATGTGCCGAGTTGGTGGATGTTTTACGTAATCACAAGACTACTGACAACCGAACACTATGCGAGACTTTTATTCGCGCACCATCCCGCCGGTAGTCAAAACTTATAAAGTTCAAATCAAATTCATAGCCAACCTGCTCTTTATTTGTTGTCCTTTGCTGTTAATTAGAAAGTAGCCTGTAGAATGAATAATTCAATTTGTTATTTTAATTTTACATCTTTTACGTCATTTTATTTCAAAAAAAATTCCTTTGATCATTCTTATCACCTAAGGAGTCAGTGTGCCTGATTTCAGGACGGATCCCAAATATTTTGATATTATTACGCATCCAATCGACCTCACGAGAATTCAACAGAAAATTAAAACTGAAGAATATGATACAGTTGATGATCTTGCAGCAGACATTAGTCTTTTAGTCAGTAACAACAAAGCTTATTATAAGGTAAAAATTTTTGCGACTTTTTGTCCATTACAAATAAATTTGAAAATTTTTTTATTTGTTTCCATTATTCAGTGTCATGTTGCAAATGATGATTTGATAAGTTTCCGAAATTTATATATTTTTTTCACTTTCTCAAGTAGTCTAGTAGTTATTTTATTTAAATGTTGTCAACAAATTTTGTATATTAAGTTGCACTAGCTGTATTAAAACCATTCAATTAAGTAATGAAAGGTTATTTGTTCAGGAAGGTAGTCAAGAATTTGAGGATGCCTGTGAACTGTGGGAAATATTTGATATGCATAGAAGAAAAATATATGAAGGAATATCTAACACTGGAATAAAAGAGTAATTTGGTTCACATATTCATTAAAGCTCTATTCTTAGTGTTTAGTGACTAAAATTAACTTGTTCATGAAGTTACGTGTATAGAATTTCTTAGTAACACGTAATCTAAAAAATTTTCTGAAAATGGCAGTTTTAAAATATTTTAAGCTACAACTTTAATTTCAGGTGTGAAAAATCATTAATCCAAGCAAAGTCTGATATTTTGCTGGTTGATTTATTTGAAGAAATCATTGTCAGTACTTTGGAGCTAACTGATGTAACTGGTCGATTACTTAGTCCACCCTTTCGTACTCTACTTCCTCCTGAAGTTTGTTATTCGTAGAATCTGTACTATATGTTTATTTGAAATCATCAGGAAATTTCTTGTCGTATGCTTGTGTCATTTTTGATATTGGTTTCATTTATATCGTTGTGTATTTAAGGAATTCCCTAGTTATTATGATCGAATTAAAAAACCGATTGATCTTAAAAAAATAGCTCAAAAAATCAGAACCGGAAAGTATCGTACTTGGCAGCAATTCGACACTGATTTTCGGTTAATGTGTAAAAATGCAAAATCTTTTAATGAAGTCGATTCAGTAATTAGTAAAGTATGTTTTTCTCAACTATATTCGTCACTGTACCTTGAGAGCCACAATATTAGTGATGTCAAAAATATTTAGTGTATTGAAATAATTTTGGTTATCAGTCGTTTCTTAGTTTTGAGTTTTTTTGCATCTATAGATCTTTTAGGATGCCTCATTGCTATTGAAAAATTATGTCAAACGTCGAGCTGAATTATCAAATTTTAAAAGCAAACCACTAACCATTAAAAGGTTCGTTGTAAATGATTTCATCCCAGTATTATTTTTTTGTTATTTGATATTAATGTTGTTAAAAATTTTCTATCAAACGGAAGCTGTATGTTGATTAACTTCAGGATTAATGCAAATAAGAGAATTTTGGATGAGCTATTAACACAAAGTGAAACTACTGGATTCAGAGGGGAATACTCAGAAGATTCAGAAGAAGATGACGACTCAGAACAAAGTAATGACCAAAAATGGATATTGTATTGGACATTACGCAACGAACTTAATCCGTCCGATCCCGAAACTTATTTAGCGGATCCGTTTTTGGAATTACCGAGCAAAAAGTGATCATCACATTTTATATGTCTCTCTGTAAAAAAGTTCGCTCCTTTTTCTTTCGATTTTATAATTATGATTTCGTCATTCCAACTTCTGTTCATTATTATCGCCTTATATCCATCTAAATCTTTTTATATCATTTCTCTCTGCTATATAATGGTTTTATATATTTTTGTTACCGTTAGTTTTAAAATGTCGATATTTCAGCTGGTATCCTGATTATTTTGATGAAATCGCTCAACCAATGTCGCTTTTTATGATAAACAAGAAATTAAAGCGTAACGACTACGGAACATTTGAAGAGTTTCTCCGAGACGTTCTTTTAGTTTTCAGCAATGCTAAAAGTTATAATGTAGAAGGTTCGGATATCTATGAAGCTGCAGTAAAGTTAGAGCGTTTAGCAAAGTCAAAGGCCCAGATGTTACAGGAAGTAGTGTTTTTATTTTAATCTGTGCCAAAAAAAATTTTCAGTGAATTAAATATTTTCATCTTGATCACCTTCGTTCTAAATTCGATATAATTCTATATTAAGGATTAGCGTCGGTGATTAGCATTCATTTTTTAGTTTCGTAAATTGCGTATATTTTAGAAAAGAGCAAACTCCTTAGTAAGTGTTTTTCAGGACATAAAGTTGTGGGAAAATGATGACACTGATAAGGCATCTAATAAAAGTAAGCAGCCATCAGATTTTACTGTATCAGGAATGAAAAGGCTGCATAGAAGACATTCAGGGCATCCAGCTCTACCTGCTCATTCTTTAAAATCAGAAACGTCGATTGGTTATCTGAATTTCGACAGTTCGAAACTTCAGAAATTACCAACAAGCAGCAAATCAAGTGATTCCTTTATGCAAGTATTTCGAAGCAAACTTACAACTTTATGGAATGCTGTTTGCGATTACATGGTAATTTTTATTGCACTGTTTTTGTTCTACAAATTATGTTCTAGTTTGATTAAATATAGCAGTAAGCAAAATCATTTATCTCTTCACTATCAGGCAGAGTAAAGCTTGCTGATACATATATGCAGAAATCATTTATAGGATAACGGGCGACGTCTAGCAAATGCTTTCATTGCGTTGCCATCTAGAACAGACTATCCAGAATATTACGAATACATTAGAAAACCAATTGACTTGACCATAATCAAACAGAAAATCGAAGCTGACCAGGTTAGATGGTCATGCATGTCACTCTGTACGGTTCCGAGTAATTCTTGTTATAAAACATCAAAAACCGTTTTTCACTCTTCATCGAAGTTGCAACTTTTATTTCAGTATACTTCCACAGATGACTTCATGAAAGATATGGATCTAATGTTTCGTAATGCCTGGAAATTTAATGAACCTGGTTCACAAATATACCAGGATGCAACGATACTGCAGTCAGTTGTGCGCAATGCATTAAGTTTAATTTCTGATATTGCTATCTTCAATCTTGAGAAATGCAGAAATAAAACAAAGTGAGTTATTCATCTAGCCAACACTTTCAGTTTGTGCGATTTCAGAAGTTTCTCGAAATATGTGCCACTATATATTAATTTTGAAGTATGAGAACGATAGATTTTAGGAAAAAATCAAAAGTAACATCAAGAAAGCTTAAAGCTTGCACTGTTGATGATGAAACTAGCAGATATAACAATCTCAACATTGGTAACAATATTTCGCGGTGAGAGTTTTTATGTTTTCCTTTGAAGTATGTATAAACCAGTTCTGTATTTCAGGAATTAAATTGTTGATTCTTGTTGATTAAAAAATACGCTTAAAAATAAGTGACACTTGTAGTTTCTTTTCAGATGCTCTACTATTAAGATGCCTGGAATACGTTGCCGTACACATTTATGTGATAATGTCAGTTCTTCGCCTTCTTGCAGTACAGTTTACACTAATATCGCATCTGTAAGTTCACCAAAAAATACAATGAAAAGTGGGCGCGGTACTTCGAGAAAATCACTTATACCATCTCATGTTGGGTCCGATGCCGAGAAAGTAGAATTGTATGAAATATATAACCTCATAAGAAATCATCATGATGAACGCGGACGTGAGCTATCGATTCCATTTTTGCAGTTGCCATCAAAATATGTTAGTTTTCAGCTCTGGAATTTAGGCATTGTTTTATATGCAGAAAAATATTTGTTGATTCTCAATAGTTTTTTATTGATACTAAAATTATGATAATTGAAACATTTTCAGGATTATCCAGATTATTACGATGTGATTCGTAAGCCAATCGATCTTTGCAAGATACGGGAGCGTATAAGTTCAAATTATTATGATTCAGTCGATGGACTGATTTCTGATTTAATACTGATGTTTGATAATGCTTGCCGTTATAACGAGCCAGAAAGCATGATATATAAGGTCTGACCTTCTTAGTAAGCTAAAAAGTGTCCAAATTAATTGGCATTTTGGAAATTTCCAGCAAAAATATTTTTTCTGTACCGTTTCTTACGGATTTTTGCATATTAAAATTGTAATTTTCCATCATATGGATCGAAAATAAATTATTTGTTTTAGAACTTTGCTAATTTTGAAAATCCAAGTGCGCTGTACTGTTTTGAACGCAGGAAAAACTTTGTATGATACTTTCATCCATTCCAAAAATCCGAATTCTTATTTGCATAGTTCTAGGATGCTTTGTCATTGAAAAAGATTGTACTCATGAAAAAACGTGATTTATGCAAGGTTGCTGGATCTCTAATAAATGTGCAATCAGAAGTGCAAACTCTTCTCTCTTCAATTCTTATTTCAGTAAATAATCATCAGGTATATTTATTGATTGATGCTTGAAGATAAGTAATGTTTTTTTTACTACCCAGGCAACATAATGAGGCATTTTTTGATTAAATTTAGATAGTTCTGGTATTATTTTCGGCATTATTCTTTAACTTGTTTGTCGAGTCGTTCTTTGCTACTGTGTATCATTTTCACTTTTTGTCTTAAGTTCCTTCCAGAACTTTACTGAATACAGGACTCTGATGGTCGATGTTTCTCTGATTCGCTGGCTGACTTGCCAGCAATGTTAAGAAGAAAAGGTGTTAATTCAAGCAATATTCCATTCTCAATCGATGAAATGAAAAGAAACATTGATAAGGTGAAATGACTATGCACTTATTTATCTGAATTAAGCTTGGTTTCTGGTATTATTTTATATGTAGAGCAATTAGGAAACTACAAATTGACAATAGTGCTTGAAACCGTTTAATTCTAGTAATTTTTCGATCCCAAAGTGTTAAATTGATACACATTCAAAACTACTGTATGTACATTTTATTTATAAGGTATTTGCTACTGTCTCTGAGCCTTTAATTTTTTGCCAATGTTTGTTGTTAGGGTCGGTATCGTCGATTAGATGTGTTTCAAGAAGATCTATTTTCTTTGTTCGATGCAGCACTGGAGAATACTCATTCTGATTCTCAAGTAAGTGACATTTCTGTAGATTACTGATGAAAACAATGTAGCAAACTTACTGTATAGAAGATAACTGTCAGAAGTAAGTACTCTTAATATGGGATCTTCAAACGTGTAGTTGAGTCTGATTTACCTTTCATATTGTCAGCTTCAGTTTGTAGTTTGAATTGATCATTGGATGACATAACTTGGTTTGTTTATTTCATTTAAAAAATGATGCTAAAATAATTCTCACGTCTTTCTGTTCTTTTTTAATTTAAAAAATATTAAAATTTGCTGGAATTCTAGATTTTTGAAGACACAGTCGAACTCTGGCTATTTTATTTAAAAACACGAGATGATCTGACACGTACAACATTACTGTCTCCTGCTCGTTGGTATACTGAGAAGTTGCTTATCACGCATGTAAATGATATACGAAAGCGTAAATTATCAAAAGAAGCAGAAGATGATGAAGAGAATAAAAAGTCTGAGACATTAGGGCCAAATGCTGTTAGTTTTCTAAATGTTCAAAAACCTAAGTGTTCCGCAATTTTTAATCATTTATTCGATGTTTGAAACTTAAAAATCGCTAGTTAGGTTTTTTGGAATCACAATAAAAACCGAAATAATCTGATTCATTGAAAATGGAAATTCATGCTGCATATTCGAGTACTATTTGACCGTTGATTTAAAAAAATGTACAAGTATATTCCTTGTTAGAAAATTTTCGAACTTTCCTGGGCTATATTCGTAAATGATTTATTGAATACTATAAAATAGAACCTATCGCGTTTTAATTTCAAGTCCATAATTTTGCGAATATATAAAAAACGCTCCATGCACCACACTTTTTGAAGCTTCATTTTTGTGGATACAACTATTTATCTCCACTAAAATTTATTCATCTGATGATAAAATACTTATTGCAGTTTAAATGATTAATTTCCAAAAGATGCTTCATCAATTTCATTACAGAAAATTTTTAATGTTAGTGGATTGTTTTTCAGGATGGAGATGTTGTTTTGGATTTAATGGGACAAGGAGGGTACATCTACCGAGTAAATGATTACGCATATGTAGCGCCAGTGAATGATGAGAGTGTAGTACAACGACACATCATGAGAATTGAACGGTTATATCGAAATTGTGATGGGCAAACATTTGCTCGTGGTATATGGTGCTACCAACCAGAAGAAACATTTCATTTGGCTACTCGAAAATTTTGCGAAAATGTTGGTTTCAGTAATGTAAATTTAAAGTAAGAATATTTTTTTACCAAGTTGCGTTTGCAGTTATGCACTGCATTTGTTTTCAAAAGTTCATTTATCTCCAGGAAGTATTCTTAACATCATATTATGATACGATAACGGTAGATCGCCTTATTGGAAAATGCCATGTAATGCCAGTTCGACAGTTCATGAAGGAAAAACCAAAAGTGAAATTTTAAATGCTATATTAACTAAATTAAAGAGAGTGCATATTTTGATTGAACATGATATTAGCTTATTCGTACATTCCTTATTACTTTTCAGAACTATTGTGCAAAAAAATTTGTGGAACGTTTTTACTTTTAATAGGTTTATAGTTTGCATTTCAGGGTTTTGACGACAGTGACATCTATGTTTGTGAATGTCGTTATATGGGTCGGCATCTGCATTTCAAGAAATTAAAAGTACGATATTGCACATACGTTCTCTTGCTTTAGACTTTTTTTATAATTTTGTTGTTAATCAAGATAAAGTAATTATTTGTGCATTTACATCTTTTACTACAGCATTGGCCATATGACGCAGCAAATGAAAATGTGGAGTACGTGAAGCGCGAGAAATCTCTAACAATGCTGAAGCGTATCACATCATTACTTGCAAGCCGTAAAATTTTACAAGTACAGCATAGGGTAACTGAAAGAGTAGATGATAATGTTAGTTTTCCAAAATTTCTTAATTCATTATAATTAACTTCCGTAATATGTATTCAACTTTTCTGAGAGAGGCAAGCAAGCCGCGTACAAACTATCGGTTGAATGTGGTACGAGAAACTACATTTTAAGAATAGGAGTAATTGTTTCTAGTTGGTAATTGAAATTAATGTATGAATCATGTTTTTAGTGATGCTATTAAACAAGATCAACAGATTTGTATTATTTGATTTAATTGAAATAAATAGATCCCCTGGATTTTTCAAGTTGCTCAAATTTTGTGATTTTCGTACATTTACATATTTCTTCTTTTAGAAATGCGTTGTTGAGTTCTCATATATCTGCAATACATACATGCGAGCAGAAATTAAAGTATTTATACTCGCCTGTTTTAGGAATCCATTGATTCACTGTCTTCGTTAGAGGATGATCGCTTAAAAAATTTGCCTGCAGTGTTGGAAAGGAAAAGGGTAGAGGTTATGTCTTATGGTAAGAATTGCAATTATTTTTGATTCATTCAAATTCAAGTGTCAAATATAGTTAATTATCCACATTATTCGAATCTGTACAAATCGCCTTCTATTTTAACAATTTATTTCTGATTTGATCACTACTTTGCTTCAGAAATTTATAGTTGTTAACAGAGTTATTTGTCACGAATAGAACCAAAATATTCTTCATATTAAGGTCTCGAATCTGTTATGTGATAGTTTTGTCAATTTTCATCTGACTCATGAACTATAGGTCGTCCTATAACTTTAAAAGAAAATTATATTTTAGAAGTACTGGAAAGTAGCAGTAGTTCGATCATTTTTTACGAGCAAATGTTTTATGATGATAGATGGTTTCGTTTGGGAGATTTTGTTTATGTGTACAATCCTTTGAGAAATCAGAATGTAATTTTACGTGTTGATAAGTTATGGAAGACGAAGGAGTAAGTTATAGTGATTTAACTTAGTTCTCGAAATTATTTCTATGTAATTTGTGCTGACGTTTGACATAAAAGAACAATTCTTTGTTATTTACTATTCTTCTATGAAATTCTCATAATTTTAGAGGTGATGGATTTTTCTCTGGTCCATATTTTGCTCATCCTTGTGAAATCAAACATGAACCAGCTCGACTGTTCTATAAACAAGAAGTGTTTGCTGTCGATCAACCAGACATAATTATTCCGTTGGAAAATGTTCAGGGAGTGTGTGCAGTTCTGCCTATCAAAGAATATGTCAGAGGTTTGAATCTTCTTGAATTCGTGAGGGAATTTGTAAATATAAGTCAGCTGTGCATAAGATAATGAATGGAAGGATCAAGTAGTTAATATGATGTAATACATTAATTTACCATCTAATTAAAAACATTCTGCGTTCATCCTTAGAAATTGACAATGTAAATGAGCTTGCTGTTTTTGCATCTTGCATTATAAGTCGTAAGGTTTAGCAGACATGGTATTTTATTCTCAAATTGTTTAGCTCTTCTGAACTTGGTATTATTGAGCTAATAAACAGGAAATAATACCCAGTGAAAATTTTGGAAAGGGTTTTTTCTAGGACGGCCAACGGAAATTGATGAATGTGATGTGTATGTTGTGGAAAGTAAAGTGCGTGGTTATGGAAGCGAAGAGCGAAGATGCAGCTCGGCAAGTGGTAAAGCTGATGTTAGTGAAATTAACAACGCTGAGATTGACCTTAGAGGAGTATCGATAATGGACAATAAAAGCGGGGAAATATGCAGGAAAGGAGGGGAGAGATGTTCAATTAATATGGCAGAAATGGAATATGATGCGCACAGTAATGTTGCATCAACATCAGGGGTAATTATGAGGAGAACAGATTCCAGTGGCTCAACAACCCGTTCGGTGGAAGAAGATCTGAGACACAGTGTGTTGCAACGAACTAAGAGTATTGTGGATAAGGAGCAAATGCTTGTAAGTGAGGAACCAATGAATGATGCTTTCGCAAAGAAACTTAAGCATTCTCTGAAGGTACAGCTTTGCTCATTATTCTTCATAATTGATTGCAAGTTATTAGACTAGGAATTTTTTGCATTTAATGGGTGGAGAGTGAATTAAATTTTGCTTGTCACCATGGATCCCTTGCGAGTCAGCTGCTTATGAACTTCGTTTATTTTACGGAGACGGAAGATTATGTGTTACTATAAAGTTAGTTGGATGCATAGGGTTTGTTTGTTCACCTCAGATGTTACAGCTTAGATGAGTGAAGAGATGGGTTAGTGAACCGCCAAAATATTAATTCGTGTGACGTTAGTTAAGCATAGTTGCACATTAAAGATTTGCTTCTTTAAATGGCGACGAATTAAGTAGAGAGGATAATCATTGATTAACATGTTTGATGCTGCTGCAATTTATACACTCGCACCACATTACACCTCAATCAATATCGCCTTATAGTAGCATTACTTTGGTATAAGTGATGAAGGTGCAAAGTATGTGTGGTCCGCCGTCACCACTAGAAACCTTGGTTCCCTTTGAGCAGGTACATATTAGGCAGCTCTAGGTGCACATTTTCGTTTGCCCTAGTGCGGTAAGTGATCAGTAAAGAGAAGGCCTGACAGCTGGTGAGCGTTTGAAATGCAGAGATAAATGAGAGAAATGGCAAACAAAGAGATTCTTTCTCCTTTTCTTTCGTCACTAAAGTAAGTAAAAGAGAAGCAAAGCATATTGATGAAAGGAAGAGAGAGGGGGGGTACGTGCAGAAAAAGACAGAGGAGACGCGGCGTTTTAGGACGCGTTGCGGCGGTGTAAGTGGGTAGAGAGGAAAGGAAGAGAGGTGACCACGGTTCAGCTCCTCCGTCCGTACCGCTGCTACCACGGTTGGCACCGCTCTGGCTACTGCTGCTTCTCTGACTGCCGTTGCATGCTGCGCAGCCTCACACCCTGTCGTGGAACACCTATCCATTTGCACGCATATTTGGACTGCATCAATTAGCTTTGTTTAGCTCTCTTCAACACTCTCTCATTTATTACCAGCACAGAACTATTGTTATCACAGCATACAACTGAAGCAAACCACTTCACATCTGAACTGTTTCCGCTCTTTCTCACACTTGATCCCTTCCGTGCATGCACATCAAAGAGCTAGCTATCATATCGTGTACTGTCTCCGTCACCCCTCTAGCCACGACTTTCTAGAAGTAACTTTTGTAGATAATAATGTTGAGAGTGACCATTAAGTAAACTAGCTTAACCATGTCTATTTCAGACATACAATTTATCATCAGACGTTGTGGAACAAGAGATTTATTACTTCAAGGTGCCAATCAGCATGGAGAAGGTTTGTTTCATTGAAAATATTCTGCTTATTTCTTCCTGCTTTTCCTATCAATTATCTAGTGTCTCTCTTCCTTGTTTTTTTTTTCCACCAAGTGTATCAAATTACTGCATCACTAGCGTAACAACCAATTTTTACTTTGAATTTCATCGGTTTACTTTTGCAAAGCTCCATTGCGTTCACTTTTAATTCTGTTCCCTCTCATTTATTTCTGTCTTCTACAGCTACTTCATCTTGTGCATCAGACTGTCACAGAACGTCTGTGACTGACTGATTGATGTGCCGATGACATCCCAAAACATTTGCCTATTCTGCAAAAAGTTTGAAAGACATGTTGTGTCGCTTCTAAACTCTCAACATCGTATTTTTCACGCATCTTGGTAGTAGTTTAGGATATTTATTTTATACTATACAGTGGTAATAGTATATTAGAGCCATATTAAACAACTCCTGTTTCTGAAATATTTTCTGTATTGGTAATGTAATGATTACAAAATTGTTCGACATGCTAATGAGAATGTAATGAATGTAGAATACAAAATTTGTTTTCATTTCTTCCTTCAATTTCGATTTATTTTTCTCATCCACATCTCTTATTTGATTCTGTTTTACATTATACATTGTTTCTATTTCAATAAATAAGAAGCAGTGTATAGTGAAAATCTCTATTCTAAAAACGGTACTCCTTTCATGGGAATCACTAGGCATAGATCTTCCCCTTTGCTGGTACGCTCGTACTTATTTCTGTAAATAACTTTTTATCTACCTCCTTTTCTTATTCAAATGAACTCAGATCATTGGTTGTTTTCAATTTTCAATAATTTTTTTATTCTTGTTCTGCATCTTAATGATTAAGTAGCAAAATATTCTCGTAGTTTTGCTTAAGGTGTGGAATTTAAGTACATTATGTGTTTTGATTTCGTAGTGTTTTAGAATTAGAGTTGCTATCGGAGACTCCATTCTCTATCCCAAAACTTCAGTTACTTCTGTGATTGGTGTGGGATTAAATTTCACTTGATGTAGATGTTATTGATGATTTCTATTTATCGAATGAATAGAGAAGGAACAACCGCAAATATATTGCATTTTTGATAACAAAAAAAATAAAAAATGATTCAGTTTTATAGCGATATATTTGAAAAATATTCCAGCGAGTTTTCTTTTTCTACTTAAGTTTACTAGTAATGCCAAGCAATTTTTGAAAGTTTATTTCGTTCTTAGATGGGCTGAAATTGTCAATGACTAATGAACGTCGAAAAATGATTGATTAGGATTTTTTGAGGACTTTTTGAGGAATTGGCATATATAGTGCAGTATTAATAACGATTATATCAAACGTCAGTCCTACCTCATTAGAGAAACAAATTTACCATCATTTCGCACAAGAGTCGTCATCTTCATTATTGATTAACATAAAATGTTTGTTGATGGATTTCGCTATTGTTTCTCAAAATGTCAAAAGCTGTGCATTGAACACCAATTTTTTATCTTGACATGAAGTTAAAACTTTTCCGAAGTGTTTCCACATATACAGAACTTTCAGCTGTCTTTATTACATTCTAAAAATTGCATTATTTTGGACAGAGCAGATAAATTACATTCAAGTTATATTTATTGATACTTATTTTTTGGGTAAAGTCAGCAGAAGACTGTTGTAATTTATGATTAGAAAATTTTTTGAGATTTGTTTGACTTTTTTTTGTTCAGTATTTATTATCTTCAAAGGTTCAATTTTGGTCATTGACTAAATGTGAATAGGTTAACTATGATTGTAATCAAAATTTTCTGTTGCATTTTGTAGGAGATGTCACCTTTATTGATGAGTGCAGTGAATTCATCCGTACCTATTGAGCCATTAGATGACCTAGATGAGACTGCTTCTGAATCAAATGATGGCACTGAACATAATATGTCCACAACTTCAAATATTGCTCGAAAAGTTTGCATGCATCTACCATGAATTTTTTTAATTATATGTTACTAAATTTGTTTTACTATATCAGATTCATTACATAACATAAAATAACTATTAAGTGAGCTCATAGAATAGTGCATTTAAGAAGCTCGGAAGTGATTCTGTCTTTTTCCAGGAATTGGTAACGTGGTTAGCAGCACAGCCAAAGCTGAATGCACGTTCTAAAAGTGGGTATATATTGTTTTCTGCAGAAGTCCGAAAAAAAGTTATGCAAGATAATCCAGAAGCTGGCTTTGGTGAAGTTAGTAAAATTGTAGGCATTGAGGTAATATTGTTCATTAAAATTCAGTGATCAAAGTTTGTAATATTCTGATTCCTTGTATTTGAGTCATTGTTTTTAGTGGAAGAAATTGTCTGAGGATCAAAAAAAACAGTATGAAATCCGAGCAGAATATATAGCGAATGAGCGTGCTAAGCAAGAAGTACGCGAACCACCTAATATGCGAATTTTAGTGAGCATTTTTGCGGCTTAAAAGAATTGCAAAAATATTCAAGTTATTCTGTCAAAATTTATGCTTACTTATTTTTGATTGAGGAATTTTCTGTCATACCGAAGGTGCTTTTTTAGAATATTTATTTATATATTGGGGAGATCATATTTTCAATTATTTTTACTGAAAATGATTTTTAAAAGATTGACCGAATCGAATGATCATGGAAATTTAAAGTTACGTTACTTATGTACGGCTAAAAAATTCTAATATACTTAAGCCTGGTCAAATACGAGTATACATGTGCAAGTGGCAAACATGTGACTTTCAGTATGATAATCCAGAAGAGTTGTATGATCATGTAAAAACAATACATACGTCTCAAATAGGTATGCCATTTAAAATCCAGCTATTGTGAACAAAGAGCACTTCAGATTTAATTCCACTGAAAAGAAATATGTATGCTTGCTCAGTAATTATATTTTCCAATTGTAAGTTGATCAAGTTTTAACGTTTATGGAATTCTCATATCATACCCCGACTTAATTTATGACTTTTTTGCAGTGATTGATGGCGAAAATCAGTTTGTGTGTTTATGGGCATCATGCTTAAAATATAGAAAAGATGGAAAGTGAGTGGTTTTTTTTAATTGCAACATATGACATAAGAGTAATAATATTATCTTTTTACTATCCTGCCACCAAAAAATCACAACACTTATCACTCGCCTTGTTTTCAGACCGTTTCCATCTCTTCCACGCCTTCATCGACATATTAAAGAAAAGCATCTTCCTACTTCAGCCAAATCAATATATCCCAATCAGAGAAGCAAGTAAGCTTATTTCTTCACAACAGAGTTACATTCGTGTTCTTTTTTCTTTGCACTCAAGAGATTTAAACTTTTAGGAATTATATTCCAACTTATGTGCCTGGTTCATCTGCCTCATCACTTACTTCTGGAACAGCAACAATAGTAGCTGTACAACAGCCTGCAAACGGACCTCAGCAAGTTCATCAGACGTATACTATCCAACAAACGCCGTTAACATACGTTACTCAGGTAAGAAAAATAAACTCTGTTCGCCATTACTTCATTAGCGGTAAGTATGAAAATCAGAAGAGACAGTAGTGGGACCATGTAAAATTCGTTTTCAACCAAAACGTTTTCTTATTTCCTCGTATAGTATACTAATTTTGTATCATTCGTAGGAAAAGATTAATAATAGGATGAGAAGCAGTAAGTGGTATAGGATATTTATATTTGAGGCAGTAGTTTCGAATCATCAAATTGTCGCTAATGGATATGTGAATGGCACTACAGTTCCTGTGGCGCCTACAACTTATTTAACAGCTACGCCAACAATGGTTCATACCAGCACGTCTCATGGTTATCACCCGTATCATCAGCAAGTCCGTCAGGTAACGTATCAAGCACCATCAACTGCAAAGGCATTAGATAGCTATAGATACTTGCGCTTATCATGATCAATGTGATTCCTCAAGAGTAGCGCTTATTATGATCAATTTGATTCCTTTGTCAAACTGATTGAAGGAATGAAATTGCAGTAGTGTCTTCCCATTTTCCCTTTCTTTTTAATTTGCACCGCAGTGTAGTGTCTAATGTCTGGAAGTCCTGCGCCAGAGAAGCGGAGGAAAGAGCTGATGAGGTTTGGTCATGTTCTGTTACTGTTATATGTCCTTCCCTATTAGTCTCTCGCACATTGTAGTTCTTTGCCATTGTTTAACTGGGGAATAGCATTTGGGGCTGCTTTCCTTGTTCTCCCCATTCATTATATCATCTAAGATCGAGCGTTTTCGTGATATTGAAGCAGCAACTCAGCTACCATTCTGAAATGCAGGTACATATGGTTAACATTGGAGCACTTTCTTTCAACCAAGGGGTTCGTGAAAAATTTCACAATTTTCGTTTAGGTCACCTCAACAACCGCTCATTCAGTTACCCTGACACCTCAGAACTACACTGCTCTACCACTGCAAACTGTCAATTACACTACTCCTTCCACCTCACATCCACATCCACAAGCATCGACGATCATCACCGATCCTGGCAGAACCATTGTGCAGGCTCCAAAACCGATACAGCCAGTTTTCGTGGCCCCACCTAACACCGTACATATAAAAAGGGTCATGCATTCTGAAGTTTATCTCAAGTAAGTTTGCCGACTTCGACTCTTATGAAGCAAGTTTTCTCTTTCTCTAGCGTTAATGTTTCATTTCTACTGTTCTGTTTCAGTTTCTAGCAATACACTATTCTGTGGAATTTCAGGTATATTGAGTCCTTATCAGAGAGTCAACAGCGAACTGTAAGTAAGTATAATAGGAGTCTGCTAGCAGATGAACGGAATTCAACGCCGTCACAACGACTTTCAACATTTCATTGGCTCAAAGTTAGTTACTCTTCTGTTCTATCAATAGTTTCAATGATACTAATACATACATACCTTACTTACACTATTCTTTTGTGAATTCTGATCTCAGTGTTGGAATGAAATGCTTTTGTGCGAGAACTCTCTAGTGCTGACTATCAGTCATTCACTTTTTTTTCATTTTTCTGCGTCTCTATTCACTTTAGGAAGCCAAAGATAATGGAGCAAAAGATGAAGAAATATTGAAAGCATTATGGCGGTTACGTGATGCTTTATTGGAGAGTACAATAAATATAGCCCGTGAAATAGATTACACTGGTCCACTATGAGTTGTTTATTTAATTTCTTCATATATTGAACACAGAAAACTGATTTAATGCTACTTTATTCGTGAGTCTTTGTTATTGCAGCTTTGTTCACTTATATATATATATATATATATATATATATATATATATATATAT